TCTCTCACCGCAGACACCACCTGCTTCTTCTGTTCGTGGATCCACGACTTGAAGTCCACACAGGCCCGGCACGGTTTCTTCACCTTCTCCCCGGCTCCCCCTCGGTCAGACCCGGCCTCGGCACCAGTTCCCGCGGGGAACGGGAACCCGCTCAACGGCCCCGAACTGGGCGCCGCCATGTTGGACCGCGCAGCTCTCTGGGAACGCTGCGCACTAACCAATCACAGTGCAAGTTCTGCCAACAGCAGCAACCAATCACAGTGCAGGATCCTCTTACCGCACTAGCCAATCGCAGTGCAGAATACTTCTACCGCACTAGCCAATCCCCAGTGCAGGATCCACCAACAGCAACAACCAATCACAGTGCTGGATCCTCCTACCATACTAACTAAGCACAGTGCAGGATCCAATTCTTATACTAACCAATCACAGTGCAGGATCCACCTATTGCACCAACCAATCAGTGTGCAGGATCCACCTATTGCACTAACCAAACACCATGCAGGGTAAATGCCTTGCACAAACCAATCACTGCACAGGATCCACTCTTTATCTTAACCAATCACTGCGCATGATCCATTTCTTATTGTAAACAATCACCATGCAGGACCTATTCCTTATCACAGCCAATCAACCCACAGGATCCACTCCTTGAACTAACCAATCATCATGCAAGATGAACTGCTCATTCTTTGCAATCACCGTGCCCCATCCATTATCCACATGAGCCAACCGTAAACTTGGTCCACACCCACATGCGGCTCTATCCTGTACCCCACCTGCCTAGCACCCTACCCCCACCACCCACTCACCTTGCACCTTATCACCCCACCAACCTGTCACAGGATGTACTCAGCATTGACTAGACCATGCCATATATATTTCCTGTCCCCAACTGCCCTTGAGAAATCGGTGATGAACTGCCTTCTGGAAAGCTGTAATCCATGTGTATTATTTACACACAGTGCCGTTAGGAAGGGAGTTCCAGGATATTGACCCAGCAACAGAGAAGAACCAGCAAAATAGTTCCAATTCAGGATGATCCGTGATCTGGAAGGGTACCTACATGTGGAGATAGTAAGAACTGCCGATGCTGGAGTCTGAGATAACACAGTGTGGAGCTGGAGCTGCCTGGCCTGCTGTGTTCCTCCAGCTCCACACTGTGTTACCTACACGTGGAAGTGATTCCATGTATCTGCTGTGTTTGTCCTTCCAGGTAGTAGATGTTGTAGGTTTGGAAGGTATTGTTGAAAGAAATTTGTGCAAAGCAAACTCCCACAAACAGCAATCTGATTATAACCTTGTAAATTTTTAGTGATGGTCAATGAGAGATAACTATTGACAAGAACACCCAGGTTAACTTATCTGTTCATTGAACTAGTGCTGTGGGATCTTTTGCATCTGCACAAGCAAACAAATAGTGCTGAGCATGCTGTCCGAAAGGCAGGACTTCTAACCACGCAGTAATCCCTCAGAACTGCACCAGAGTGTCAGCCTTGATTTTTGTCCTCAAGCCCTGGAGTGGGAATTGAAACTGACACCTTGCAATAAGGTGAGAGCACTACCAAACTGAACTGTGCTAACAGTACACGCATTAATGTTAAACCACCAATCTTGCCAGTAGCAGTCCTCAAGTAAGACCATAAACAGGAATAGGGAATAGGGAATAGGGAATAGGACCAGTGTTCAGGAAACAGGGAACACTCACCCTACAGTTTCATTTGGTTTCCAATCGGAATAAATGAGAAAAGGGACCAACACATTTGATGGTGCCAATGACCATTCAGATTGGATGCAAGCAGTTAAGCTACTAATTTTGGTGTGTTTTGTTCTCATTTTTAATCTTGGAAATTGGATGCAGTGCATAACAATTGGTGAAATATTTAAATGAGCATTTTACTAGTCCAAGGGCATTTCTTTTCATCCAGCAAACCTTGAAGTAACGAATTACGCTGTGGGACAGAAGCAGCTAAAACAGAAAAGAATAAATTACAAAAGCTGCAAATGTAAATCAAAAAGAGAAAATGCAGGAAACATGTGAAGGTCTGTCAGCCTTTAAGGAAAAAACAGCAACATTTTGGGCTTGTCACCTTCTTCAGAACTGAACAATAAGAAATTGATATTGTAAGGATAAGAAAATGGGGACAGGATGGAAAAGACACAATTAAAACATATATCCCTCAGGTCGGTTTACTATTGGTGATAAAACAGGCACAGAAATATTCACACAAACAAAGTGAGTTAACAGATTTTTGATGGAAAAATAACTTTTCCTGTCAGAAAGAAATGGGTTTTGGTTTGAAGTTTCAATGATGACAGTAAATTTAATAATTTGTATTTTAGTCAGATACGTCGTTGTAACTTAACCTGGGAAAAGTATAAATCCATCAAAAAGATATGCCACAGAAATTTATTCAGGGGTCTAAATATTCATTACTACAAATATATCTTCCCATCTATTTAGCTGAGTGACTAAAATTGAAACTACGAAAAGAATGGACATTATTCCCCAGATGTTTTACTGTAACTCTGAGATCCATCTCTATGGTTGCCTTAATAAATGGTGTGGAGGTGCCGGTGTTACACTCAGGTGGACAAAGTCAAAAATCACACGATACCAGGTTATAGTCCTGTCTGGCAATTCTTGTGTGGTGCCCAATCATCTGTTTTTGTAGCGTCTGCTTCGGGGAATCCTTGCCTGCAGCATACGAGATGAACAACATTGACCAAGTCACATGAGTACCTGCCGTGTACATGGTGGGTGTTGTTCCCATGTGTGATGGTAGTGTCCATGTCGAAGATCTGACATGTCTTGCAGAGGTTGCCATGACAGAGTTGTGTGGTGTTGTGGTCAATTTTTTTCTGAAGGCTGGGTAGTTTGCTGCGAACAATGGTCTGTTTAAAGTTTGGTGTTTATTTGGAGACGAGAAGTGGAGGCGCGGGGAAGATCTTGGCGAGATGCTCATCGTCATCGAAGACATGTTAAAGGCTGTAAAGAACATGGCGCAGTTTCTCTGCTCCAGGGAAGTACTGGACGATGAAGGGTACCCTATCGGTCGTATCCTGTGTCTGTCTTCTGAGGAGGTCGTTGCAGTTTTTCGCCGTGGCACATCGAAACTGGCGATCGATGAGTTGACGATCATATGAGGGCGTCCTTCAACACCTTCAGGTGCCTGTCAAATTCCTCCTTATCCAAACAGATCCTGTGCCAGACAATCGCCAGACAGGGATCGTTTCCTCTCAGTGGGACAACACTTCACCCGTCAACGACATTCAGCCTCCGATCTTTGGGTAAGCATCCTCCAAGGCAGATTTCAGGATACACAACAAGGCAGAATCACTGAGCAGAGACTGATAGCCAAGTTCTGTACCCATGAAGATGGCGTCAACTGTGATCTTGGGTTCATGTCGTGCTATAAGGTGACCCCATCACACTGTTCTTATTTGTAAAATCTTGCTTACTGTCCTGTTTTGACAGCATCACCTCTCTCACACACATACGCATATCTATAGGGTGCATCATTTCATCCAAGATGTTTGTCCATTTGCAGATACATTCTATTTTGTTCAAAAACACACAGTTTGTAATCACAGTCAGTCAGTGTGGCATTTCATAAATTCCTGCTTTCGGAATGAAAACAGGCTGATTCCAAATTAAAGCTCGGAGACAGATTCTGAATGAGGCCTCACACCTACAATTCAGTATCTGACCTAAGATGTCACCTTTTGTATCTCTGCCTGATTGATGTTTGGAAAGTTAGGCAGACAATGATAAATTACTTATCTCGGGGCCGTGGCTTGAAACAGATTCTGGAATTTGCGTCTCCTTTCTAACAGAGTTCTCCATCAGCCATTTTGTTTGTTCACTTCACTCACACCAATTGTACGATGCTTTGATCTTTCTGCCTATAACCTCTGTGTCTGTGTGCCCTCTCTCACTGCATCTGACATAGGAGCAGCGGTCTGAAAGCTTGTGATTTCAAATAAACCCGTTGGACTATAATCTGGTGTTGTGTGATTTTATAATAAATGACTTTAAAATGATAATAAAATGACCATAGACTTTCACTGATGTTTCCTGTTTGAACCACCAGGTATCATTCCTGCCTTTCAAAGTCAGCTAAAAGTGATTTTAATTTATCACAATTTCACAGACATACGTAAACGAGGAACGTGATTAACCCATCTTGGTTCCCCAATCAGAATTAACCCACCTTTTCAACATTTTAGTAGCTAATTATTTCCCCTCAAACCATGCTTTTCCATTCCAGGTATTTTCTAATTGACTTGTTGCAGTGGGTGGGACTTGAACCTAGGCCTGCTGGCTCAGAGGTAGGGACACTACCACTACACGACAAGAGCCGCTTAAAGCTGTTAAGGTTGTTTTGGCCTGGTTTTGAACTGGGGACCTTTTGTACGTAAGGCAAAAATGATAATCACATGCAGCCAAATATTGTGAATGTTGGAACAGAAAGTAGTGGAATTGGTTATCTGACACAGCAACACCCATTGGGGGCGCTGTCCACCAGTCTCCATGGATACTGTTCTAACTTAGTGACCATTCCAGCACTTTGTGGTTATTCTTCATTTCATGTTTTGACTAGCTATTCTTTTAGTTTGGAGATGGCTCTCCTTGTGTCAGTTTTAAAAGGATCGTTTGCTAGTTTCAAACTGAATCCATCAACAAACACATTGAACTGGACCCATTATACAAACCACTGAAAAACATAACCAGAAGTAAAACCAATCACCCAGCAAACCGAGGCATATTAATAACAAGAGGGACAGAACGCCAACGCTTCACCGGAGGCGCACTGACGATGTTACCTAGCATTGTGACGAAACATCTGCAACCAAGCACACCGGCTCGTTGAGCAAGTTTACAACCTCAAAACTGAATCCAGTCATGTAGTTTGTGTCAAGAGTTTTGGTAATGCCGTTTTTACCTGGTGCTATTTGCACTAATATTCTGATGGAAATGCTTTGATATTTCTATCATTGTTCAACCCTCTTGTGGCTTCTATTATGGGCAAGTGAGAGAGGGTACGACACTTACCCCTACTGTCTCTTTCCACCTCTTAACTGGCATTAGGGTCCAGACCCGAAACGTCAGCCTTCCTGCTCCTCTGATGCTGCTTGGCCTGCTGTGTTCATCCAGCTCTACACCTTGTTATCATAGATATGTGTGTTTTTT